AAAAGAACACTAGGTCAACAAAAATAAATAAATAAATAAATAAAAGAAAAGAAAGAAAAAGGAATGTTGGGAACAAACTGTAACCCCCAACTCATTCTAGTATGAGAGATACACACACACAAAAATAAAATTAAGAAAACAAGAAAATGTGTTCTCTCAAACTAAGTCAAACAAGTCAAATCAAGGTCTTGCAGAGATTCAAATTTCATCAAAGCCCAAGTTTAGGGACAAGTGTTAGGAGACCATTTGGATAAGATGGCACTGGGACACAAAAACACATAACTATTATTTTGGGCCTCCATCCATCCCTTTCTTTCATTACCCTAACCTAAAGCCTATACTACAGTCCAAATAAAAGACCCTTAAGATTGGTTCAAATTCTCATTGCTCAAAATAAAAAAGTTCTTAACCCTAGGATAGTGTTTTGATTGTTTGCGATTAACTCTCTCATATCAAGGTGCTGTATGGAGTGCATTAGCATCATCAATTGATGAAAGCAGCAATAGCCGACAAACCAACCAAGGCAATTTCAGCTTTCAACAAGTCCAAAGTTCAAACCCCAAACTATCAAAGGGTTTCACTCATACCTCAAACCCAACATCCCCACCCATTACTCCAGTTCATACAGCCTTTCCTCAAGCTCACAAATCTTCTTTCATCCATAACATTTTAGCATCCAAATCATCCCGGGCAACATACGACTCAAAAGTCTCACTCAACTTGCCCACCACTCAAAATCTGGATGCTTTTGAAGACATTCCAGCCAAATCCATCTTCGGTTAGCCTCAGCATCTCGATGGCTCAGACCAACTCCAAATTTGTTTGACTAATGAACTGATAATCCATGATCTATGTGTGCTAAGGGCAAAAATATGATATTCAAATCGAAGGTAATATCTTCTGAGAACCATATGAACTCAATTTGTCTTATATTAACTGTTACAAAAATGGTTTGCAAAAGCATACATTTCACTTTCAAAATGTTATTGCATATTGAAAAACTAGTATTGCTTTATATCTATTGACAAAATGTTAAAGCACAAGTACAGGAGCAGAAGATCACCATTACGCAATTCTGTGTCCAATTCATCCTGGAGTTTAGAACCCACTAATGGAACAAGAATTCAACTCGAGAAGATTTTCAATAGTCAACTCATTCATTCATCAAAGGAGTCAATTAGAAACCAAGCTTGATGTCCAACATTCAAGCACCCAGAGCATGTTCTTCGTGTTTGTCACTCTCACTCCCGTTCAAATCATAACATGTATGAGTTGTTTTTTCAAAGCAACCACCAATTCCTTACGAACAATATCTCCCTTGGCCTAAGACTAGTCTTTATCCAAAGAAGCAACCTGCTTATCACTACCACAAAGAGCATTTTGCAATGAAGCTATTCCTTGGATGCTATCCTTTGTTGTAAAGATGACTTGACAAGTTGTTACAGGCCGCAGTAAGTCTCTACAATTATGGCAAGGATAATGGAGTGACCTTCATTCATTCTTCTCGTTAGAACTCCAACTCAAACATCAAGCTTCCTATCGTCCCGACCGCTGATCAGAATAAAGGCACAAATTTTGCTTCCATTAGCAAATCTAGTCTTCTATGGGTGCACAAAGTTTGTCTCTCATGAGTCGAGAAAGAGAATGAAGGAAAATATTCCATTTACTCATTAATTGCCTCGAATGGTTTAGCACGTTTTTGCAATTGCTTGGAAGGACATCTATCCACACAAATGCTTGTTACAAAGCACAAAGATTGCCCATTCCAAGAACATCATGGTATTCATGGAGAGAATGAGTCAATTCAAAGAGGCTTAACATTGGGTACCTACATGCAGTAGGTGCAAAAACAATCAACCTTGGATCAAAGTTGGGCCTCTTCAACTCTAAAAATACATCACCAAAATAAAGGCACAAAATTTCAAATTTCAATTTTCAAGTCCCGTGGTGGGACAGCTGCATAACTCCATGGTAGGACAGATCCACAGCTTCACTTTGACAGAAGGGTATGTCAGACCTAGTGACCGGGAAATGTCAAAATTTCAAATTTCAATTTTCAATCCCCGTGGTGGGATAGATGCGTGCCCCATGGTGGGATTGATCTAACCCAATCATGATTGGTTCCAAGTTTTTGAACCCAGAACCAAATAAGTCATGCACTAGAACAAATCCAACCCAATGTAAATTGGGTTGGTTAGGGTTGAAACCACGGTTCTACTATATTAAAAATAAGTAAATCAATCAATAATAAATAATTAAACGAAACAAATATTTTAACATTTAAACATAACACAAACAAAAAGCAAAATATTGTTGAATGCAAACTAATACATTTTAAATCGAACTCAAGTTTAAATATAACCAATTCAAATTAAATCCATTAATACAACTAATGCAAATTAAATCAATTGCAAAATCTAACTGAAACTTCTAATACTTCCTTCGTTTTTCTAATAATTTTTCACATAGGACTTTCTTCGTTCACCTAATAATCCTTATATGTAAAAAATTATTAGGTATAATCAAATCCATTATAATAGAGTAATTAGGTGAAGATATGCTAATATAAATAAAATTTTAAACATATATATATAAATAGGTTCGGTTTTCAAGTTGGTTTAATTTAGGCAAGGCCTAAACAAAGAACCAACTCAGTCTAATTGGTTTAATGATTTGAAAACCCAGAATCAAACTAATACACTCAAAAACCAACCGAAAAAGATTGGTTTGATTAGATTCTTCAACTCATCTCCATATAAAGGGCTCAACAAAATGGTAATTTGGTACATAAAATTCTCTATTTCTTCAAATTTTTCTCTCTCTAAATGGGGTGATTAATTCTTTTTTTCTTACTTTTTTTGTATGTTTCTTATGTTTTGCTCTATTAACACGGCTGGCCCTGATTTTCTGAGCCTTAATACGAACTTAGAAAATAGAGTTTGAACTCTCATATATATTTTAAAAATGAGTAGGGTCCCACACCATGTGAGACATTTGGTAGAATTTTTGGTAAAATTTTTGGGGTCTCTAGCATTTTTGTTTAAATATATATATTGATAAAATAATAAAAAAAATTCAATTTATTTTTATTTTTTACTTGTACTTTCTATAAATTTATTGCATATGGTATACATAATTATTGAAGTAAATCATAATTATTGAGATAAATTTTGAACATTTTTTATTGTTAACACTATTAATTTATTCTCATTTTTTTTTCTGATGTAATAAATTAAATTGTAAAATTTGATTAACTTAAAAAAATTTATTTCTCTAGAAGCAATTGTAACGTGTATAGTCAAACAATATTCTATATATAATTCATACATTTGACAAACAGCCATCCATTATTTTTAAATAATGGACCAATTTAATTGTTTCTTTAAATCTTCATTTTTAAACTATTAATACTATAATATAGTGTTAGGTTCACTAAAATTAAATTAAATTGAATGGAATGATCATTCCTTAGTCTCTTTGTAAAATTACTATTTCCCCACAATGATGAATAATTATTTTGTTTGAATTCTCTTTTAGTAAATCAAACGTGAAAATGGATATTATGATGAAATGATTACTCTATTCAACTTTATTTTAATAACCAAATTTAACTTAAGGGGAATTTTTTTTTTAAGATTCCTGATATTAAGATTTTATAAGATAAATGACATATAACATTTTCCATAGTAATTAAGGTCCCTCAACATTTCTATAGAGAAAATTCGACTTAGAAAATTTTTGCTCAACTCAGTGAAATTTCACCCTGACTCAGAGAAATTTCAATTTTTACAGAAAAATTTCTTTGATTTTACAGAGAAATTTATTTCTCTGTGATCATACTAGAGAGATTTTGTCTAGGCCAAAATTTCTCTGAGTTGGGCAAAATTTATCTGAGTCAAATTTTCTCTGCGAAAATGTTGAGGGACCTTAGCTAATAAAAAAAAACATCTTGGACCTCTCCTACTACACAAAGTTGGGATGGATGTTTCACTAGTTTTCCCTCAATCTAAAATCGAAATAATTAAGGGGAAATATCATTTTGCCCTCCAAACTATTACGCATTTTTCAATTTGGCACCCAAACTTCACATTATTTTAATTTGACCACAAAAGTTTTTAAATTTGATCAATTTATCCCCCGTCGTCTGTTTCCCTTTACAATCAAACGGAACTTGCTGACGTGACACCAAATTTCATTTGGAACTTCATTTTATCTCCCAAACTATATCTTAAAAATCAATTAACCCCCCAAATATTAAAAAAAATTAAATTTAAATATTTAATAAATATTTTTTTTATCTCAATAATGAAATAAATAATATACTTTGCAAAAAAAAATATAAAATATAAAATCCCCATTTAGAATTATCTCTTTAAGCTCAAATTATCTCAGGTCAATCCTAAAGAAATTAATTGAGCCAAAAATTTCTTGGCTACTCTATGTGTGTGCGCACGCAATTGTAACTAGTTTATTTCCCAAATTAATTGCAATAGAATTGATTGACTAACACTAATTTCAAAATTGAGTGGGTATAAAAAAAATTAGAATTCAATTACTGTCTAAATAATACTCAACAGGACTAACACTCAATTTTTTATTTAAAATTTAATTTTTTATTTTTGAAATAAAACATTATTAATTAAATATCTAATTTTTTTAATGTTTGGAGGGCTAATTGATTTTTAAGATATAGTTTAATCATAACGATTCTATCTATTTTCCTAAAAATTAAAGGGACTTAGTATATTATTTAAAAAAAAATTCAAATCAATGATAAAATTTATAAATATTAATAATTAAATGGACAAATTATAAAAAAATACCCAACGTTTTACATATTTTTCAAATTAACTTGAAAGTTTCAATTTCATTAATTTTATTTTTATTTTTTTGGTTGGGTTTTTTTTTTAATTTTTTTTTATATGTCAATTTCTTACTTTTGTAGCTGAATTGTTTTCACTAAATAGATACATTAGGTTTATTCAATGGGGGTAAATTGTTTTCGTCAAAGTCAATGAACTTTAAATCGCACCTTTAGATTTCTTTGGTTTAACATGAATCGGTAGCCCCTGATTGAGAACTGGCAATGAATCTCTGATTGTGGCGAACTCATACCCAGGACACATTCTTGGTCCTCCTCTTAATGCCACAAAACAGAGTAAGGAGGGGATGGTGCTTGTTGCTCAAAGAGTGTTGGGTCGATCTTTGATGGATTTGGGAAAATCGTCTCATCCATGTGAGTCATGCTTGCTGCCCATACCACCTGTTTATCAAAAATTTGTGTTACTTCTACCTCTTATTTTATTTACATTACCCACCTTTGTTCTGGTAATTATCCTCTTCTCACTTTTAGGGTCCATGAGTATGGTTTTCATTTTTGCCCTTGCTCAGAGGCTAAGGGTGTGAAAGGCAAATTCACTGGTACTGACAACATTCCTTTAATCATGTTTTGAAATAAAGGTCTTAGTGGATCTCTTCTTGCTTCTCGTTCTATTCCAAATATGAGTGAACAAATAATGTTGAATGTGAAGGTCTTCATCAAAGGCATCACCTATATTATCAACAAATTGTTTCATACTATTAATGCAAGGAGGAAAAATTAATAGGTTAACATGTGTAAAGTCCAATGGAAATTGTCATTTCTCCATGTCTATATGTGGCTGGTTTTGTAGATTCTTAAATAGCTACTAGCCAAACAAAAACCCCATGCGCGTCTCTTGTTCCACTTATGACGTCATGATTTGCTTTTGTAAAGAAAGAACCGTCTTCATCCATCTTCCCAACATACTCCTTTAATGCTTTAGGCTTCAAAAAGGATACAAGTGCTCCCCTTATTCGCTTGTGATCTTCCCCACTTAACACCAGTATATTGTTCTCACCACAGACTCTCCTCGTTGATGCTGGTTGCTAGTTGGAAAATGTCTTGTTGTCACACGTGTATATAAATTTTTTTGCAGCCTGTCCATGGAGAAAAACTATAGGAGTTCCAAAGAGGGTGAGTTTGGAAATGGGACTATACTTTCTTGTTCTTTCATGGAACCATGCCTCACCCTTGTTTGCTCACATGGCATGTAGAAGGCTGAGGTTATGACCTATGATGGGTAATCCCGTGGAACCTGGTGGGAGCTTGTTAGAAGTTTTCTTGGTGAAGAAGAGGAAGATAGGAATAAATAAAAGTAGCAAACTCAAATAGTTAACAAATTCCATGGCTCAGAGAGAGAGAGAGAGAGAGAGTGGTATATTGGTGGAGGACTATACTTATATGGGGGATTTTGAGGTGATAATATATATATATATATATATATAGAGAGAGAGAGAGAGAGAGAGAGAGAGAGAGAGATTGGCCCTTGTTGTCTTTGTAGTTACAATCTTGCTTTGTCATTTTTTTTTTGTGGATACTTGTTGTCTTTGTAGTTACAATCTTGCTTGTCATTTCCTTTTTGTTTTCTTTAATTGATGATGTTGATATGAATAGATGTTGTCAATATTTGTTGGGCATATAAGCTATATAATGGAGTTGCTTGGACATTTCCATAGTGATTAAAGCACTGCCTTCTAAAAAGGACATGCAATGTTTGCATGGGTGGCAAATGACAATAATGACACATTATCTTTTTATTGTCCGACGAGACGACAATTATTATCGTATGAAATTTTTTCCCTCACATCATCTCCTCATTTCACATCATCACTTTTTCACCTCTCACTACTTTCCCTCTCCCCGTCATTTCTCTCTCTCACCCTTTTTTACACCGATGATTTTGATAATATAGGAATTGATGATAAAATGATGTTCATCTTGGTCTTGTAGATTTTTGACTAAAAAATAGGTTTTTCAAATTTTTTTTAGGGTGCTTAATTCATCCTTAAGCAATTGAAACTTCTTTCTGTTTTTGGTTTTTGGAGGCTTTGAAATTCAGTAAGGCTTGTTTAGGTCATAGGATGAGAAATAGGCTTTTTTTCCCTTGAAAATGTGAAGTCCTTGGGACATTTTGTCAAGAAAAAAAAATTGTGAGTCTTAAGATTTTTACTTGGTCGTGTTATAATTCAATTCTCCATTCACTAACAGTGAGCGATTATCAGTGGGTTTTCATTCTATACCATTGGTCCAAAGTAGAAACTTCATCTAGGTTTTGAAGTTTTAAAAAACCTTTCTTAGTTGTCGTTTGAGTGGAAAGGAGAAAGACAAATGATGTTGGGGGGGGGGGGGGGGGGGCAGAGAGAAAAATTGTTGAAAAGGAGAGATGATGAAGAGAGAACATGTGGGGAGAGAGTAAAAGATGAATGATGGTTGAGCTAAACCCTAGAGGAGTACCAATCAGAGGAAAGGGTCTTAATTTATATTGAACAAATGTACCACATACAAGTTAAAACAAAAAGTATCATGGTATGTCATCCTTCCCTAAAATGGAACTTTGATGGTAGAGCAAGAACTAGCATGAAAATCAATCTAGACCTAAAGCAGACTCGAGGGCTCTTGCTATTGACAGCTATGTTACACAGACTCTTGAAAATAAATTAAATATCCGTGTCGGACACCCAACACTCAGACAAGGGTATGGGAAATGTGTCGGATACTTTTCAACAGATACTTATATAATTGTATATAACACTATTATTATATGTACATATTGTTGTATAATTGCTATAAATGTCATTTTGACGTTGTAAGTTACATATAATATCGTTTTATCTCACATACTAGATTAAAAATATAAAAATATGATATTTTTTTGCCGAGCCCGCGTATCCTTAAATTTATGATTTGATGAGTCCGACCTCTAGATACATACTCACACCCGACACTTGTACCCGAGTCCATGTAACATAGATTGACAGGAATGAACCTATTTCTTTTTGACCAGGTATGCAGCTTGTTGGTTGCACTGAGTATGTCGTGGTTAGTTAGGCTTAGTTTACTTTGTAATGAATGCAAAAAAAATAGGCGGCCTTTATGTTAACAAGGGCAACTGAAGATTTCCTTGGTGCTTCAGTACTACGACAATAGTTGTTGTACTATTAAACAAAAATAGTTGTTGTACTATTAAGATTAAGTGGCTGTACAATAGAATACTGTTGGCCCTGACCTTAGCTAAGTTTTCAAAGTTGAACAGCCCGTCCTTTATAGAATTTGAACACCATCCCATTTCAACCAAAAATACAACCCTGTCAAAGATATGTATCCTTCCTTCCTTATGAGTGGAAATCCAATCCCGTTTTGTCTTTCTTGCGTGAAAAGCATCCAATAGATAATATATAAATACAGATTTAAACTTTGTGCATTTTTTTTGACCTTTTTTGAAAGTGCATAGTTTCTCCTCCTAAAATGGGGCATCACTTGTACTACTTTACTAAATCAAGCGAAGCGCTTTTTAATAGTAAAGCTACAAGAAATTTCTTTCTTTAACTTAACTAAGGATGGTTGCCGATAGAATGACCGTGAGATTGGTGGAATGCAAATTCCAGACCAGTATCTAGTTGTTGTCATCTAGAGCAGTATAAGTTCTAAACAATGTGTTGGGCATAGTTATTACATAGGTGGACTCTCCAGGTTCCCCAACATAAGCTCACTTCAAATGAACCACAATCTCCTCTTTGTCCTTGACCACCCCTCACAACTCGAGCAACAATTCATTTTTGTACTCTCGAGGTATTAGTAGTCAATCACATTCCAATAGAGAGCAAATGGCCAAATATTTTTACTTTTTTTTTTTGTTTTTTTGTTTTTTGATTGGCACTAGGCTATCCGGATCAAAGCTCGACTAATCCCCAGGGATACAGAGGCCCTTGGCAAGGAGTTTCCTGTAAATGTACCACAATTAATTCAAGGGTTTTCCCACAGTCTGATGCCCCAAGGAATTGTTAGCACCTAAGATCTTTTAGCCCTTTTTGCAATAAGAGTAAACAAAACAAGGAGTGCAACTATATGATCTTGTCCTTCTTATACTATTCTTGTAGAGTTTATAATACTTGTCTCATATAGCAAAAAGGTGTTTGAAAAGTTGTGTGTTTTGTTTTAGTTTGACAGATTGAAGAACACTGCTGGAAGCTTGTGACATACATGAACTGTTTTATGGAGAATGTCTACACCTACAATTTGGTATGAGCATTCTTTGACATTGAAGTTGTGCTAAGTTAAATGTGTTTTTGTTTCTGAGAATAATTTGGGTAAATTTTTACTTGTCTTGCATAAATTCTTATTTATATTATGTGATGCAGTACTTGCATAAAACATATGTATTTATTCTCCAACACAAACCAAACAATGCAAATGAAACCAATTCGACAGAAGTGTGCGGCTAGAATTTGCACTATTGTGCTGCTAGAATCTCATTAATTGGGAGATCTATCATGTTCTTGATTTTTAATTTTATCTGTCTACTAGTGTATTTTTGCTTAGAAGTAATTATTTTGTCATGAGTATATTGAAAGCTGAATTTTTTTTTGTTTTTTTCTTTTACTTTTGCTTAGAGGGTTTCTTGCACTAGGCAAGTGAGTTGTGCTTTTTCTACTCTAGTAGCTCCCTTGATCATCTTTAGATGATTTTTCTTGTAAGTTTCATATGCTATGTTTGGATGGTAGGATTTAAAAAGAAAGAATATGAATCCTATAAAAAAATAAGATTTCAAGGTTAATACAGTTCTGCTGTTTGTTTGGATTAGTAAAAATTTCTCCATGAAAAGTAGTTCAATTTTAAATAATGTGGAACCATATTTTTACACTTGAATAAGAAATATGAGATTTTTTGTAGGAGTGTGGGAATGATATTCTCACATTGGGAAGGTAACCCAAAATTATATTATATATTTCGTATTTGAATGCACTCAAACAACATAATGAAGGAGAACTAACATAAAATTCTAATTTTACCTCTATTTCTACTATCTGAACATAGTCTTGCCAACTAGCTAAGATGGATTTCTTATAAATAAATAAAAGAGTAATGCTATGTTAAATATCATTTTTGCCCCCCAAACTTTCACGTGTTTTTCAATTTGACCCCCAAACTTCGATTAATATCAATTTTACACCCAAACTTTTGAAATTTTGATCAATTTGACCCCTGCCGTCACATTCCGTCTACAATTGGACTTAATGTGCTGACGTTGCTACAAAGTTCATTTAGAATTTCATTTTACCCCCCAAACTATACCTTAAAAATCAATTTTCCCCCCAAATATAAAAAAATTAAATTTAAATATTTAATAAATAATTTTTTAACTCAATAATGAAAAAATTAAATTTTAAATAATGTATACTTTGCAAAAAATAATAAAAAAAATATAAAAATCCTTATTTAGAATTATCTTGAGACTATGAAGCATGGGTATTTCGACAAACATGTCGTACCTGTACCGGATACTTATTGAATTTTGAAATTTTTTCCCCCTCAAGTTTGAAATTACTATTAGTTGATCAATTCTATTGAAATTAATTTGGGTAATAAACTAGTTATAATTGCACGTGCACACACACATAGAGTAGTCAAGATATGTTCGGCTCAATAAGTTTCTCTAGGATCAACTCGCGATAATTTGAGACCTATGAAGCACATGCATGGGTATGAGTTCTGATATTGGTACGATATGAGTACGTTGACATGGTAAAATCTTTAAAAAAAGTAGGGTACAGGTACGGGTATGGTTTAATACGTTTATAAAAAAATATTTATTTTTAATTTGAAATAATACAAAAATTGATTAAATGGTTTTATTTGTTAAATCCAACATACAATTGACATTTAATGCTAAAAGTACAAGTATAAGATAAACCAAAATTAAATATTAGTATGTTAAATAACTTACGAACCAAAACTTAATTTTAAAACCATTCTAAACACAAAACTAAAAATGAAAAAGAAGTCTAGTAAAAGGAATTTTATCTTTGTAGTAGAAGAAAAATATTGTTTTGACCGAGGTACGTCACGGCTTAGATATATACTAGATATGTCTGGGTAGGCCAAAAATTAAGAAAAATTTGAGTACATATTTTATGTCCCCAGTGCATATGCAGAAATATCATACGGCGGTAAGTACCCGTACTCGGTATAGGTATGGCATGTTTGTCAATCATTCATATTTCATAGTTTCAAGATAATTCTAAATGAGAATTTTTATATCTTTTATTCTTTTTTTGCAAAGAATATATTATTTAAAACTTAATTTTTTCATTTTTGAGATAAAAAACTATATATTGAATATTTAAATTTAATTTTTTTATATTTAGAGGGAAAAATGATTTTTAAGTTATAGTTTGGGGGTAAAATGAAATTCCAAATGAATTTTGGTGCCACGTTAGCACATTCTGTCCAATTGTTGATAGAATGTGATGCTAGGGGTAAAATTGATCAAAATTTCAGAAGTTTGGGTGTAAAATTGATATTAATCGAAGTTTGGGGTTCAAATTGAAAAATGTGTGAAAGTTTGGGGGGGAAAAATATATTTCCTCTAACAAATATTTTTTTTAAAAGTTTCCTTCATATTAGTTCATTGGTGTCCATTTGGTATACTGAAATTTTATTAGTACATAAGTTCATTTGTAAAGTATTTTCATGAATAAACACATTAAAAATGGAAAATATCTCCTTTAATCTTCCAGCAATTCTTTTCATTTGGATCCGTTTGCATAGTCTACTTATTGAGGTAGCTTTCTCTAAACCACAGACCTCAAAATTGGCATTATCATATGGAATTTTTTTTCTCGGTTCGTACGTTTTCCATTTTTTCTTGTTTTTTGAAACATTTTTTGCAATAATTTCTTTCCTCAAATTTCATGTGCCATGAAACAAAATGGAATCGAACAAGGGAAAAGTAGATAAGTCAATCATTTTTCCTCTAAATAGTTCATATATGTAAATAAACAAAAAACCTTGAAAAAAAAATCAACATCACAGAGGTTTTATATGATGCATAAAATGTACTCACACCACACCCCATCGGTGGCCATACATGTTATGGCCATTGGCCACTATATATTTTGATGTATAATGGAACTTAGTAGCTCATGCAGATCATTTAATTAGCTTTGCATTATGAATAGAATAAGCAATTAATGGACTACATTTAGCATTATTTATATATTCAATTGCTTAGTTAAATTTCTAATAAAAAAAAGAAAAGAAGGAAGCAACGTTTTTAATCGTTCCTCTCTTTCTATGAACAATTATACAAATGAAAAGTAGCTGTGGAAAGTTTTGATGATAATTTGGATGAATCTTAGGGTTAAGTGAAATTTTGGTCAAAAGGGAGTTAATGATCTCCCAAATGAAATATTAATGAAGTTGAGAGCAATAAGTTGGAAGACATGGTGGGATGTCTTTGGGGTTATTAAGCGCGCCCAACAATTCAGACTCCCAATCTCCTAATCTAGTCTCATTAGTGCAATGTGAAACGAAAGATGAGAGTCCAAATCCAAAAAATTTTGTAAAAAATCGCTTTATTGCAAATATTTTGCTGAAAATGGACTACATCACCAGATCTCAGAGTCGCCACCTAATCTTTTGGAGAAATTAGGAAACCCGTGACTTGTACCAAAAGCCACTGCCTCTCATAACCTAAGTGTCTCTGCTCGGGAACTTAGGTATGAGGGGGGAATGTCATTAATTGAGCACCCTTACTCACCCGATCAAAAGATCAGCCTCTACGAAGTCATGATGTGATTTTTATAGCCTATATATTCATATTCTGGTTATTATTAATGCTAACATTACTATCTAAGGCAATCAAATATAAACTATGTCACTGATTTTGGTTATGTTTTGATTTTATGCATTTTTGAAAAACCATTTTGTACAGACTCCGAAGCATAAGAATCAATCACATTCCAATACAAGGACACAACCTCTATTCACTGGCATTCATACAAATATTTCAATTAAGCATTTAGCCTCATGGTATAGCAATGAACATGATAGAGGAAATATACACACAATATGCTAAAGTAAAGAAATGCTCACCTAATATTCCGAGGTGAGCCAAAAGAATAGGTTAGAGTATGTGCATGATCCTATATACAACTAACTAATGCAACACGTATATGACATGTATCTATAAGTCCGGATACCAAGACATGAAATGGATGATGGATATCATCTCAAGACATGGAGTGACGCATATATTCAACTTGGAAATGTTAAACTCTACAAATACAAATGAGCTGGACCCTAATGCATTAAAAATGGATGTAATACATGGGCGTGATAGATAAGACATGATGCTATATAGAAAGCTTGTAAATAAAAGGGTTAGAAAGACGTGGGGTTGGAAGATTATTACAACAATTTTAATAAGAAATGGGAGGGGGAGGAAGAGAGAGATTATTGCAACAATTGAATATATAATAAAAGAAAAGAATAGGGATTGGAGAAATTATTACAACATTGAATTAATTCAATTAAGTTATTGTTGAATCTAACAAATCATACTAAGTAGTTAAAACAAACCATCCAGCAACTCCAGAACCACCCAGGAGAGCACTCCCTAGAAACTGTCTGCTCTGTTCTTGGGAAAGATCATTTGACCGAACACAAAATGGGCCGGCCGAACAGGAATTTGGCCTACCGAACTCTTCTTTCATTCAAGATTTAGGTCAGTGCAGAAAGTCTAGAACAGAAGCTAAGAACATCTTCCAAGGGGTGCTCATCCCTTCTACCTCCTCCACTTACATGAATCACTCAGGGAAGAGGTAGATAGGCCTCAACCCTTAACAATAGAACAAACAGATGTATACAACAGATGTTTTGCAACAAATTGACGACATAAGAGGATCAAAGCAAAAAACAAATTCAAGCCTAAGAAATAGATGGGAACCTATATCATCTCTTTGTGAATAAGGGCAGGTTAGTACCCAAATCTATTCTATTAATTAGAAAGAGTAGATTAATGCACATCATTTTTTAGCAAGGGATAGTTTGTTTTGAAAGCAAGGGATTCATCAAAAATCCATTGAAAACTTTTCTATAATTCACAGAACAAGAGTGTTTCTACCCTTTTCCATGTTCACAAATGATTGAGAAGAGAGAGTTCAATGCCTTTTGACATAAAACCTCTTGTTTTACTTCTAAAAATACTCAATAGAAGGGAGAACACAACGTTTTCAACATCAAATCCCAAGGATCATCCAAGTAATCCTATGAAACAACCCCCAACACTCATTGACATTGAGTGAAGAGTTGAGACACATGGATCAAAGTGCTTGGAAGATAGGAGATATGAAGAGAGAGTTTGTAACAACAAGAAAAACTACTCTACATATTAAACTTGTGCATGGATGGCTAATTTCTACTCCCAATCACATCCACTAGGTTCCAAAATATACAACAATAAGAGACTTTAGTTAAAGAAAGCAAGAAAGCAAAGAATGACTGTCAACTCAATGGATGGGTGGCTAATTTCTACTCCCTCTACATCCACGAGGACTTGTTACATATTTACAACAGTTATATAATGAAGAACAAGGTCAGAAATAAAGGAAAGGAGAAGAAATGATAGTCAAAAGTTCAATAATCTCACCTTTTAAAGAGGATGAGCTTCTTTGTCTTGATTCCCTCTAGTCCTTTTAGATATGTTTTAAAATGTCCAAGAACCTTCACTAGAAGCTAAGGATCAAGCTTTGATGGTGTTGGATTGTTCAAAGTTAGAGGGTGGTAAGTAGGAGACGGAGGAGAAAGAGAGAGAAGTCAAGAGGCTTATCTTAGCCTTGGGCAAATTTTCCAACCCCTAAAAAGGGGCTGCTGAGCTCTATTTATAGAGCCTCGAGTGTAAATATCTAAGATATTGATAGAAAGTGTTGAACAAGCTGAACTTCCCAAAAATGCTTTATACTCGGACAATTTAGCCGGTCGTACCATTTGGTGTCTGACCGAATGCATTTTTGACCGGCCATCTTATGTTGTCCCGCTAGTCAGAAAGTACATCGTGAGATCAACAAGGTAGTGATAGCCTGAATTGAGAGGAGAAACAGATATTTCAGAGGATTTCACCTCTTCCATTCATTCCCACTGCACAACCAAACTCGTTTTGAAAAAGGTTCCCATTTGGTTGAAAAGCATTTTGGCCAAAACCGATGTTTGGAAAGTTTAAAGCTTGCATTGCATCTTAGACTTTTTGCTAAGGGATTCATTGGACTAGCACATCTCATTTTCATCATTGGGTACTCAAGAAAGAGCGCCCAAGTCTTAAGACTGGTCAAAAGTGGGGTGTCTACACATTGGGTTGTCCATAAACAAACCTTACTTTGCAGTCCTTTTTTGTATGCAGTTTCATGAGTTCAATGGGATGTGTTTGATTGTTTCTAGGGAAAAAAGGTGACAAAGAACATATACCAACTCCTTTTTTTCTATTTTTCTTTTCCTTTTGATAATCTTTCATTTTCTCGAGAAAAATGTTATACACATCGCTCAACTCACTACAACTACATTTTCATATTATTAATGAACCTTACAGCCCTTGCATGCAAATTCATTGGGCATAGTATTAGGTTGAATATGTCATACCAAATGCTCACATTTGTTTACCACGAGATTATTATATCAATACAAATTGCTCGTGTTTGTATTGCACTAGTTCGTCAGGATTGAATATATGAAATTTCATATAAGACCTCATTATATAGAAGTTGATTTTATTGTTTATATATTGCAAAGGCAAAATTGTCTTTTGACACGTTCTCACGAGACAAATTCATCCCATGATATTCCTAATTCACCCATTTTGGGGAATTTATTGTTTAATGGGATTGTTTATCCATGCCTTTTTTTTCCTTTTTTGTTTTTTGGGTGTGCAACTGAACAGGAATTATGCGAAACTTATCAAATTACCAATCCAATCCCAACTCCTACCAGGGTTATCAAATAAGCCCTTAATGTTGGTAGATCCCAAGTGTGACTTTGCATTGCAAATAGGAATATTGTTCAAGAAGGATTCTCCGTTATGATTGGTTCAGGGGGTCTACGTCAAGTTTTGTTTTGACATGATTTATGGTTTGGTGATAAATCTTTGAAATATGAGTTTCCTAGACTATTCTAGATTTTGTCTCATCTGTTATGGTTAATGATGTTCTTTTGTTCAATGGAAGCTTGAACAAGTGGTGTCTGCAATTCAGGAGGAGTTTATTTGTTTGGGAGAATGTCCTTTTGGATAATTTAATGAATAAACTTAATTCGCTTTGCTTGACTCTTGACATGGAGGATGAGCTGCAATGAAAGTGGGATAAAAATAATGGAACCTATTCGATTAGATCTTTTTATAATGTCTGAAAATTTATCTTGTGGTTTTGAGGTTTGTCCTCTCAAGTCACATCTCTTTTCTGGAATAATCTTCTCCCATTCAAATTCGAAATATTTTGTTGGCAAGCTGTTCTAGGTAAAGTAGCCTCTTAGGAAGTTTTTAGCTAACAGGGGTAATCCTAAATGAGTTTTAAGCGCTCTGTCCAATGTGTCTGAGATTTGTCAAATCTGTCTACCATATCTTAATTCACTGTCAGTTCGCTTGGGAATGTTGGTCCTGTTGTTTAAACTGGTGTGGGTGGTGTTTGTTGAGTCTGTCTCTTTGATCTTTTTATGTGGTGGTTTGATCCTCCTTTTTGGAACCTTGAGAAACGACTTTGGGTGACCCTCTTCTGCATGGTTGTTTGGTTAGCTCAAAATGCTACTGTCTTTAACCACTTAGAACAGCATGTTCATGATGTGATTCACCTAGTAAACTTGTGTTTCGCTCTTTGGGCTAATGCTTGTTTTGGTATTGTCAATTACCCAGTGTCTGGTATTATCAGCTGCCTTGACAGGATCATGAAACTCAAACTGTAGCTTCTTTCAAAGCCGCCTTGACAGACATTGAAGCAATAAGATGGTTGAGGTGCAAAGGAGGCTTGGCTCTTTTTTATTGTTCTTCTTGTTGCTGCTGATATGTTCTTTGATGTTGCTGGTGGTGTAGGGTTGCTGCTTTGCTGGCTAGGGAGGTCTTGCTTTCATGAAGAATATTTTTACTGCTATGGGAAACCTTAAATTATAACTTATAAGGTTGTGTTGTTGCTTTTTAAGGCTGAAGGTTGTTCTTGACGCTACAAGAAAAAGTATTTTGCACGGTGTTTAGAATATAGCGTTTTTTGAAATGTCTTTGTTGATTAGTGAAGCACAACGTTTTGTAAACGTTGTCTTACATCTAGGTCAGACAACGTCATTTAGCTGTGTAGTGATCACACCAGTTGATATTAAAACCTTCTCGCTGTTTGAGACCTTTCAAAACCATCTCACTCCAAACTCTCTGAAACTCATATCCCCTTTTCAAAACTCTCTCTCTCTCTCTCTCTCTCTCTCTCTCTCTCTTCACTTCAGATTCATCAAATAGTACAACCACCATGTTCAGTGTAGAAATTTAATGTATAAAGAGAAATGATTGTATTATTGATTGATATAATGTTATATATATTACAATGATTGATGATTCCTATATATAGAAGAGGGTGAGTGTGTAGTAGGTAAGGAGTAGGTGAAATGGAGGTGGTAGTGGTGTAGTGGGTTAGGTTTAGTGGAGTAGGTTTAAGTGGGGGAAGGTTTAGTGGAGTAGGTGAGGTGGTAGTGGTGTAGTGGGTTAGGTTTAGTGGAGTAGGTTTAAGTGGGGGAAGGTTTAGTGGAGTAGGTGAGGTGGTAGTGGTGTAGTGGGTTAGGTTTAGTGGAGTAGGTTTAAGTGGGGGAAGGTTTAGTGGAGTAGGTGAGGTGGTAGTGGTGTAGTGGGTTAGGTTTAGTGGAGTAGGTTTAAGTGGGGGAAGGTTTAGTGGAGTAGGTGAGGTGGTAGTGGTGTAGTGGGTTAGGTTTAGTGGAGTAGGTTTAAGTGGGTGAAGTAGGTGATAGGTTTAGTGGAGTAGGTGAGGTGGTAGTGGTGTAGTGGATTAGGTTTAGTGGAGTAGGTGAAGTGGAGGTGGTAGTAGTGTAGTGGGTTAGGGAA